CGATCTATAAATACGTGGACATTATCGAGTGCAAAATAACATTCCTTATCGCTTGTTATAAATTCATTTCTCAAATGAATACTCATAAAATATTTTTGTTTAGAACATAAATTAATAATATGAAAATGTTTTATCGTTAGAAATATATATTTAAGTAAAAAAATCATTGATAGTATCTATGCACACGTACAGAAAAATTGTGTTAACGCATGCGGAGGAATATCTCAAGAACGTTTTGCGGGAAAATATGAATGCCTGCTCAAATCCAATCTATTAGAAAAATCATATTATTACACAAGAGTGTCCACCATGCACTTGCACTGCACTATTATTAGAATAGTAAAATAGAATGATATACAAATGGATGAAAATTATATTTTATACATGTAACTGTTATATACAAACAATTCCCTGTCATTTATTCATTATCCACGCACGAACTTGTCTCAGAAAAAAATATATCTCTGTACATTAACCTCACTTTCAGGTATACAGATGTGATTTTTTTTTCTGAGACAAGTGCTTGCGACCATCCACCAGTCATCCGATGTTTAGTACTTCAGTACTTTGATTAGAAGTTTATATCATAACGTATGTACTAAGTTTCAAGTTAATGCAACTATATATTCATGGTTAACTACCTTAAACTAAAACTGTAATATGACACGGAGCGGACGCACAGACCGACAGACATAATACCGACTCTCGAATATTGTAGGCGGACAAAATAAGCAACGAAAATCAATACAACAACAATTGTTTACGACACAAACAATAACGTCTATTGAGGTGTCTTTTTACATACTTTACCTGGCAAGAAAATTAATACATTTTCTTGAATAGTGGATCAGGCCTTTACAAAAGTAAAATGTTCACCTCAGGACATTTCACTGTATACGATTCAAATGCAGAAATCTATAAGAAAAATTACACCATTCCAGGTCCTTTTGTTTTCCACATAATTAATACTACCAATAATTAACAAGATTTTGAAAGCAGAGGAAACTGTGCACCTTATTATCAGAATGACTTTAGCAGATGACAATACGAATACTAAAAGTCCAGGCTAAAAATAAGGCGTAGGCCTCAAACAAAGTTGATCTTAAAATTTCTCCATACTGTAATGTAGTTTTTGGTGATAAAACAATAACTTTTTTACGTACAATGTATTTGTAAATATGTAACTCGGTATACTCGGAGTTATCTGTCTTCACAATTACACAATGAAATTTGATAATGAATTCCGAAAATCCAGACAAGCCCTTGAACATACAAAAAATATTAATGTCATTTACTAGCACTGGGTCCATACCACTGCTGTTGGACTGTTAGTCCACGATGGCATTATAAGCAGTAGTTACTGCTTCGTTATTGACATGATTTATAACATACTTGTTCCAAATTCAAAGTTGATAGATTTAGAAATTATGAAGAAACTAAGGGAGCTACCATTTGATTTTTATGGGGAGGGGGGTGCTAGGATGAAATTTGAAAAAAAGGCAGGACAGGAGTTTTGAGTAAAAAAAATGCAGGATAAACTAATAAAAAAAGCAGGACCGAATAGAGTGAAAAATAAAAAGGCAGGGCAGAAATTACAACTAAAAAAAATGCAGGACAAAATTGTTCATCCTAGTCCCCCCCCCCCCCCCCCATTAAAATCAAATGGTAGCTCCCTAAGCTTCCAACTCCCTCATGCAAAGTTGACTCTAAACGAATTCGTCTATTTTTTTTATATCCCTTTTGGTCATATAATTACTCGTGTATCCAGGAACTTATCCATCCTTGGCTTTCAAACTTTTGAGTTTGACCGTTCGTGATGAAGGTCAGTGTAGATGAACAGTTTGAATTAAAAAAAAAAACAAACGTGTTATTCATTCACAAAATTATTCATAATTTGTTCTGGTTGATGAAATTAACATTTAAAATGAAATTTATATATTCTCAACTTGACCCTTTTTTAGTAAAATATTTCTTCCATAGATTTTTCTTGGAAATACCTTATATATGACATAGTTTAATGTGTAAAAGGAAACCTCAACCTGCCAATACTCTCATCACATACTGAAATTTTTATGACACACATAAAGTTGAATATATATAAGCATGAATTAACCTTTAATTTTCTCTCCTTGAGATGTTTTTTATTAAGATAATTTATGTTCTTTACCGTAGTCTGAGACGATCAATAAGTAAAATAAAACCACATGTTTCTTGAGGTATCCCACCATACCAAGTCATTATCTATATTATTCCACTGTGTGTACATATTGATAGCGATCGCGACATTTGATTGGTTGAGAATATCCCACTTGACGTTGAACAAAACTCGTATTCCCTCTGAGTATCACATTCCATTCTGACTACCTCGTTCGACTTTACGCGCGATGAATGTACAAACTTTTTTTGTTTTTTTGTTATGTTTTTATATCTGAAAGAATTTTGAACACGATAATGACTATATATACATCGGTATTTAAATTTTGTTTTAAAGAATAAATAATTAACTTTTGATCCGGGTATTGCTTCATTGTTTATATAAGTGTTTAATTATACAAACAAGCGGATAAGAAAAAATATATGTAAATCAATATTGTATGTTCAGGAAGAAAAAAACCTATAGGCAGTGGAATAAAACATTGATTTCCCTTAGCTTACGGAGATATGAAGATTTGTTCACACTCGCAAAGTCATATTTCCCTCGGGCGATGTCCTCATGAATATGAATTTTCTTGGGTGAACAAATCTTCATATCTCCCTCAAGCAATAAATTGTATTGTCTACCCTTACCGCCTTTGTAAATTATGAGAGTGGAGTGTTTATGTTGTTCGAACTTCCCCCCTTTGAAATGTAAATAAAACATATTTGAAAAAATAAAATTCCTTCCTTGTTGAAACTAAACTCTTTTCTGGTTTTATTGTGTATTTGGGTTGCTGTCTCATTGATACATCTCCTTTTGTTCATATTTTAAACAGCACTTCATTTATTTTGGGTTTAAAAACACCAACACAAGAGTGTTTGGATCATGTGACACAAGTATTTTGATCGAAACCTTTCAGTTTTGTTATTTTATGCATAAAAGATCATAAAAAAATATTTAATGAGAGAGAAAATAACTGACATCTTCTTATAATTTATCTTTTATGTCTGTCTAAACAATTTATGGTATTTATCGGTGTTAATGGATTCATTTCAAGGTATGCAAATATCCATAGAAAATAGTCTAAGGAGAAATTTAAGTATTCACAAAAACCCGTCTATATGCCGAACCCTTCATGATTATTTTCTGTTCTTGTCTTTGTCATTGATTTATTTCGTTTCTTTAGAGATAAAAATAAAAACAAATCTGTGAAAATAAGGTGTTGATGTCAGATATCAATTTCAGTCGGCTGTGTTAAACTCATTCCCAGTTTTCTAAAATGTGAAATTATACTACAAACATAATTATTGAATTCTTAAAATTACATTTCAATTCTAAAACTAGGAAATAACCTGTGAAGTCGAACCTTTTTTTTCAATTTGTTAAAAATATTTCATCACTTAAAGCACCACATGACTTGTCTGGAAATCGAAATGATGGAATCCTCATGAAACATCTATGTACTGTATATATAAAAAAGAAGATGTGGTATGATTGCCAATGAGACAACTCTCCACAAGAGACCAAAATGATACAGAAATTAACAACTATAGGTCACCGTACGGCCTTCAGCAATGAGCAAAGCCCATACCGCATAGTCAGCTATAAAAGGCTCCGAAATGACAAATGTAAAACAATTCAAACGAGAAAACTAACTTATGTACAAAATAATGAACGAAAAACAAATATGTAACACAGCAACAAACGACAACCACTGAATTACAGGCTCCTAACTTGGGACAGGCACATACAGAATGTGGCGAGGTTAAACTCGTTTGAAGGCGCAAACCCTCCCCCTAACCTGGGACAGTGGTGTAACAGTACAACATAAGGACAAACTATAAAAATCAGTTGAAAAAGGCTTTACTCATCAGATGGATACAAAAATACATAGAAATATAACTAACAAAAACACAGAGTGGACGTGGACGGGTACTTGTACATCCAAACACCAAAAAGACACCAAGTAGAGATCTGAGAGTACTCGCAGTTACTGACAGCTAGTTCAAAGCCAATAACAACTAATAAAAAAAAATCATGCATCTAACACTAAATGTAGTATAGATGTATACATTTCATTCTTTAAATTAATCACAAATGGTATATTTCACTGCAGTATATGACAAAGGGGATAACCCTGCGTGATTCTTCGCTTGTGGTTAATTACTTAATTATCACACTGATTGATAGTTGGTTGCATATCATAAAGCAGCAAATATTCATGCATTTTCAGGTCAATACACAAAGACAAAAAAATATTATAAAAAAGGTTTCCGTTGGTAATTTAGAATATAACTTCTATGTTATAAATGTTACAAAATTATGCACAGGTGTTTTGATAGATTTAAAAATCCTATCATAAATCTGTTTTTTCCCCCATATAATGAATTTTTGACACAGCTATGTCATTATGAGAAATCGGTTAAATTGAAAGCTTGTGGTTCACCTAAAGCTATTTTTTTTTGCCTATATTGAATCAAATAAGTTATGTAATTTGTAACCTGTCTTGCGGTGCATTTTTAATTCGAAAAGAATAAATTAAGATGCAAATTGACTTTCTGTCGAATGACATCTTGTTTCATCACGGAGATGAGTTGTCGACATTAATTACAACATCCATACAGGTTTGGTAATATTATAACATATCGGCTTAAAAATTTATATTTCAAATTATTATGCAGATATCAATTAAATTTATATCGCTATATCGTGTCAAATATAAACTTGTCTTATATAAATCAGCTAGTATATGTTATCAATCATTGACTGTTTTATATATAAGCATTCACTTTTCATACTAAAGGAATATGTGCAGATATAATTAATTTCTTTGTATATGAAAGATGGATAAATCTACAGACAAAAGAATTGACATAAGAGGCAGTTGAATGACTACAATAGTGATAGAAATGCCTTTAATATTATGGAATATAGTACTAATCATCTTATTAATCCGACGGGTTGACAATAAAGCAATGATGATTGAACCACCGCATCGGTCCAGTTTATGGAGATATGACAAGACCGTACCTGTTAACACAAAGGACGATATGCTCAACTGCGGGGGATATGAGGTAAGACAAGCTATTTTACATAAGAAGATGTCAGATGTTGTCAACAGAATGTTACTTAGTGTTACATTACTTGAGATATAAAATAATACAGATTGTACGAATTCATAATCGTTATATAAAGTAATTTTACAATAGAATACGTCGGATGTCATCGACAGTTTGCTTATCAGTAATATCTCACTGAAAATATATAATAAAACAGAACGTACGAATTCTTAAACAGGTTTTATGAGTTGAGGTGCCACATCAAACACATAACTTAATTATAGTAAACATTAGTCACGAAGAAGCAATGTTAAGAATTAAAACCCATACGGAATTTAAACTACAGCTTTTTAAAATACAGTTATAAAATGATGAAAATGGATGAAAACCAAAATGTTAACAGCTTTTAAAATATTCGAGCCAAAAAAGATGTTTAGGACTATCAGTCTTTATCTTTATGTCAGTATTTTAACTCCAAATAATATTGGAACAGTGAACATATTACAATAACACTTAGTTTTAAAATACCATTGAAAGATCTTTGTCAGAAAAAAGAACAGTGCATGTGTTTCTAATTTTCATCGCATAACTCTTTCTCAAAGTAGTATATATTGATTATTTCGCAATCCTGGATTGCACATAACAGCAAATGATCCGACTTTGCATGATAAAAAGAAATGTTGATGTAGGAATGAAATTAGTTGATGAGATTTTCTTTTAAAAGAAGAAAATTATCTGAATTTATTTCACGTTAACAATAAAATTGTGTGCGCTCTAGATGCATTCTGGATGTATCTTCATCAGAAATGTTCAAAGATAAACATTTGAAAGTCTGGGATGCGTACTTACACTGCAAAGTTAGGAGCTATATGATTAAAAAGGACATAAACAGAATAGCCAGATTTTTCTAAGGTCAACTTTGCGTGAGAAAGTTGGAATATAAGTTTCTTCATAACTCCTTAATTTTTGAACGTGGAATTTTAAATAAGTAAAAGTTATAAATCAGTACAAAAGAAAATGACTAATGAGCTAAAGATACCCTTATGGACCAACAGCCCACCCAGCAGCGGTATCGACCAAGTGCTGGTAAATGAAATAAACACTTTTTAAATTTCGAGCGTCCAAAGCGCTTTTCTGGATTTACTTTCATCAGGAAAACGAAAACCTTAACATTTGAAGCCTGGGATACATAATTACTCTGCAACTCTAGAAGCTATATTACCAAAAAAGACATAAATAAAATAGCAAAATTTATCTACGGTCAACTTTTCCTGAGGATGCAAAAATCTTACTTTTTGTATATATCTTAATCTACGAAAAAGGGGGGATGTTAAATAAGTCTATGTTTTAAATCATGTCAGTACCGAAGCACCGACTACTGAGTTTATGATAACCTCGGTGGCTCACAGTACACCAACAGCGGTATAGACCCAGTGCTATAAAATGAAATAAACACTTTGAAGATTTCGTGCTGTGAGCAATGGTTTTTACCAACACTGAATATTGTATGAAATTATTAAAACTTTGGCTATCAAGGGACTCAAGGAATTTAGTTTTATAAAGGAATAATCAGTATTTGTTTCCTTTTTGTTATTTAACAAGAAAAAAGAACAGTGACCCCATTTTATTTCTGAAAGAACATTATTAGAGCTATATTCTCATATTTTATTTCAAGATTATGTCATTTAGTTTTCTTTCTATTCACAAAATAATGCATTTTCCTTCTATAATCCGTATGAAATGTGGCAATTTTATAGCTTAAAAACAAGACCGATGACATATATATTTTGACAACAGCACGATATAAGCATTTGTCCTAAGACGGCAAAATTTCTTTGATGTTTTGTTTACACCCCAATACTACATTAAGACTTATCAAGCTCTAAATCACCCCAAGTAATACAAAGCTTTGGATCAATTTAATGGAAAACAAAGGACAAATTGTTAAAAGAATAACATTTGTTTTAAAATTATTGGTCAATAATGATCAAACCGATGTCTTGCCTGGTAGTTTATTGGTGAAAACACTCGACTCATATATGAGTCCATTACACATGATATCAAATGCATCCCCTCTTTGATTTTGAAAAAAAAAACCATCTTTTGACTCCATTTCCTGGATTTTAATAGAACAGCTCTTACAACTTTAAAAATTCTATCAAAATTAGATATAAACTCTTTAAAAGAGTACTAAATATGTTTTAACACATAACATTTGTTTCAGGTATTTTTTCACAATTTATAGGGGTTACAGACAAGGAAAACCGCTATCTACCAATATTTTTGTACATAACGAGCTGAAATTTTATGACTAATACTTCGAAAATTAAAATATAAAAAATCTAAAAACAATTGACGACTCAGAGTTATATATCGATGATAGAAGTATTTACGATGATTAACCAGAATCTTTAGTTTGCATCGTTTCCCATTTTCCATTAATCGCTGACAATTTAGGGGGGATGACAAACCAGACAAAACTAAAAAAAAAACAACCTAGTTATCAATATATGAATTTGCCACACTTAACATGTAGCATATAAAGGGATAAAATTCATCCTGAACAAGACTACTAAACAAGAGGCAACATAAGTTCACCGAAGTTCAAGTTCGTTTGAATACCAAGAGTAAAAAATCAGAAATTCGCATGAGATCGGAAAGGACAAAGACCTGTTGTGTCGACAGAGTATCCGTCTCCTGCTATGAAAACATCACCTTTAATGCAAACTCGTTCTAAGCTGTTAGTTTCTGGAAGTTTTTTTTCAGAAAAAAATATAATAGAATAACAATATTTAAAACAATTTAAGGATGATAGTTCACAAAAATAAACTAAAAAAAGAGTCAAGTTGATGAATGATTCAACCAATAAGGAGAGAAATTTGATGAATTGGTTTAGATTACTTTTAAAGTGTTTTTGATAGCAAAGACATGTTCAATGCTCTTAATTATATATATAAAATATTACAACTTGAGAAAAGTAGTCATCAATATTGAACGAAAAAAATCTTATCTTGGATCTAATATATATAATGCCATTTTACAAAACCAAAACTCAAATATAAAATATAATAGGTAACACACCTAATTATGTGGTTAACACTATGAGTTAATTACAGTACAAAAAAAAAATATGCAAAACTGACAGGTAAATAACCTACGTATTAAAGAATCGTTATTTTCGAACAAAAATAATTTTAGGAGTTAAATATAGATACTGATATTTATATAACTAACAGCTCAAAGCTACAGTGTCTCGAATATAGGTTAACTCATTGAATATAAGAATTTCTTACAAAATGAAAAAAGTAACAAACAGCAATAAGTATACAGTGGATATGGACTTATTAGAAGTACATATGTTAGACTTGTCAAAAAGTAATTTCTCGAGGGAAACTTAAAAATTGAAACTATAAACAGCTCAAATTGAACAGCCTTTTTTCATATGGAAAAAACTAAAAAAATTCCGAAGGACACAACTTATTATGTTGTTAACAAAATAATTTAAATACAAAAAAAAATCCGAAACTGGCAAGTAAATAATTGTAGTATTGAATAATCTTCTGAAATAAACCGATTAACTAAAATAAAAATCATTTTTCATAAAAATATAAACTAGATTAATAAAACTTGTACACTGTGTTTATATAGACTTATGTAAACCTTTTCAAATTTTTATTGTTGACTAATTACCTTTATCTATGACATTTTTTGTCAATAAATACATTACACAAAGAGAGAAAGACCTGCCATCAATCCCAAATTCTCCAAACGACAAAAAAGAATAACATATAGCAGAAAACCAGTGGCGAGGATTTTGACCTATACCGAGTCAGAATGTGGCAGTTGTATTCCACTTGTTCCGTTGATTGATAGCGTTTTTATTGGGTCAATTTTTATGCCTTGGATGTCGGTATTTTTGTTATACCTTTCTGACTTTGGATAAAAACATAAACATGCGGCGGGATAATTTAGTTTTTTGATATCTCAACCCTGCGCCCTCCAATCGCAATGAATGTAATAACAAATGGTACATAAAAACGCACAATAACTCTTTGTTACTGAAATAATAATAAAAAAAAAACAGGTGTCCAAGCCAAACATTTATAAATGAAAATAAATGATGCCGTGTCAAAGAATGCTAGCAAATACTGCAATCAAGCTAAAGGTACCTGCTAAAATAAAATCATGCCGTCTTAAACTTCGATATTTTTTAGTTGATTTTGATTCTTAATTAATTTTTACTGCACCAGATGCGCATTTGAACAATTAATGACATTAATAGCAAATTTGAATCAAATGATATCCGCATTTTCATGCCAGTACCGAAGTGCTGGCGACTAAACTAACAGTCCAATATCAGAGGTAGCGGCCCAGTGATAGTCATAACATTAACAGTACCAATTTTACTGATGCACAATTAGATAATTGATGTCTCTTCAGTGATGTTCGAGGCCAAGATATTCGAGAATTCAAATCAAACCGAAAACGTTGAAGAGCTGATCAAACCAAAAAAAGACCGAATGTATAGCCAGGTCTGGACAATGGATCAGATAGATAATTAACTTTCAAGATTTTTTTTAAGAGAGTGAATACAATTTCGATCGTAATGTTTATTTTAATAAATACAAGCCTTGTTAACGTTACTGTTTTTTTTTTTAGTTTGTGAAATATTTATCTCATAAAAATATTTAATACATAGTTAAGCTCAAAATGAAATCATCTCTAAATCAGCCAGCTATTTATACTAAATGGTGCGATTCAAATAATATGTAATGTTAATCTTTGGATTATTTTGAGACACTTTTAAGTGAAAAAAAAACCGCAAACAAAAGCATGAATCTTTCGCATTGATGTGGTAACCTAGTATGTCATATGATGATGTATCAGTCACATGAAATCGTTTTTTCTTCAAATCAGAATATTTGATACGATGCGACAAGGTTGTCATATTTGTCAACTCATTATAATGATATTATTATTTAGAATTTAGTTTTTGGGTAAACAATTATTGAAAAGTAACACAATAAACAATAACACCATTTCCAATATTGAATCGTTATATTGTAGTGCTATTACACCTGATTATTTATCAGTACTAATTGATAATGATGTTATACACTACAGTTCACGTTCAGTCTTTAATAACAATACAATTTTCCCATGAGCAAATACTAATTTTCATAAGAAATGTTTTCATTATTTGCAAATCAAGGTATGAAAAGGTGTACCATTCACTACTTTTAAAAAGCCATATTGTAGAATTATTCAAGAAAAAATGTGACAATTATCTTTATAGAATTATTATGTAATAAATCATAAAATCTAATGACGTTACCATTTGTTGATAAGCATATGAAATGTTTGATTATTGTAGCTATTTCAATGAATGAATGATTTTGTCAATCATGCATATTGTATATTTGATGTTGTTTGTACTGGGCGCATGTATTTGTTTGAGGGCCGAAATGAAAATAAGTTCTAATTATGTTACCTTCTGTAAATAAATACATTATTATTATTATTATTGTTATTATTATTATTATTATTATTATTATTATATGATCGTATGAGACGGATTCCAGGGCGCACAAAGACGTTTATCTGAACAAAATACATAACAGTAAATCTTCTGTGTTCTTGACTAAAGTGCGTAAGTCATGTTGCATAGTTTAAGTATTTTTTTTTAATCATGGACACAGATGACAAGTCGTTCATTTTGAAACTGACACTAATTAAATCATTGCTGTCTATCTTCAGCAGAGTCTGTTATTTAATACGTTTTGAATCATGGGAGAAGAACATGCATTTCACAATGAATCATGGGATTTTTAATAAACAAACATGAGGACCAAACAGATTTCCTTATTGTTAACATATCATTTATACATGTCATGCTGACATTGATTCTTAAACTTTGCCGTCATTATTTTACGTTGGTGTTAGTTAAACAATTGATCCCTTCTTTTGCCGAGCCAAAAATAAACTAAAACGGTGATTTCCATCTTGTATACTTTTTTTTACAACTTAGATCGAATATTCAACTTAACACTGTACTTTTTGTTCAACATTAAGTATAGGAAAGTCTGAATTGTTTATTGTTTGTTGATGCATATCGGCGTGTTCAGTATACAATCGCTTGAAAAATTGCTATTGAAAGATATATGACTATCTTTTGTTGAGGTTATCGTCTCTTTAAATGCATATTTATAATTTGCCGTGACATAACATTTCTATTAACCATATGTTTCCTTTACTTTAAATATTTTACAAAAGGGATAAAGATTTCAGAAATTGGTCAAAATATTTACCTAATTTAAACACAAAATAGAGATTTATTTTGAAAATATAATTTTACCTGTTTGAAGAATTTATTTAAAAGTCTCGTTTTACATCCAGCTTTTTGCAGAAGCTAAAGTAGGAATGGTCCTTGTAATCTTTCTCTCTTACTTGAAGGACTTCTTTATTAAGGTTATATCAATACTATTGTTGTTTTATCACTGCGTTAATATCAATAGTTTGAAGCAAATAATTAAAGTTCTTGCTGGTTCTCAGCATTAATATTTTGCACGGTTGGTTGTGGGCATTGTATATGATCTTGTCGTCCTGTACTATTTTTGACGTTCTGTACGAAACCTTTTATGACATACAGCAACCGATATTAGACTGTAGATATCAGTAACTGCAAACATGATAGTGTGCATGATTTTGTATTTGTATGTGGGTTTTTGTAACAATTATTTTGTACGTTCCCTATACTTATATTTATTATTTGTTCTTTTATGTCACTATTTCAAACTAGCCACATATGCATGTACCTGATCCTCGTCAGGACCCTCGTCAATGGTTGTCGTATGTCATATCAAACAAACTTTTTGTAATTAAGAGAATTTCATGTTGGTGCCATATCTTATATAGTTTTTGTTTGAAAAGGAATGGCAGTTCCCCCATGCATTTGTTTCACTCGCGACTTAAACTTGTGAAGTTATTGAAACGTACCGGAATTTAAATATTAAAGCCAGGATAATATACGTATACATTTTCAAAAGTTTATATCATCCATGGAACCAATTAAGATATTCTGTGCTAAACTATATGTTAAAGGCACTTTTGAAACAAGATTGCACATTTTGCATATTTATGTTTTAAATTGTGTTATTTGTTTCTTAAAGTAAATACATAGTTTTATCTCCGATAGACATTTAATTTGGTTAAAAAGTTATTTTTCTCCTTATTATTTTTGTGTGTGAAAATTTCTCATAATTTGTCAAAATTCATCAAAATTGCAGTTTCAAGCCATCATCAGCAGTTTACGATTTTGTAAAATGTTTGGAAACAAGCAATCCATTATGTTGTTTTATTAGTTATCAAAGGTACCAGGATAATAATTTAATACGCCAGACGCGCGTTTCGTCTACACAAACTTATAGTACACGCAAGAAGCATGATACAATGCATTTTGTAAATGTTGAAAGCATTTTTGAAATAGCCCTGGTGAGAAATAATTTATGGGGAAATTGGTCCTACTTCAAACTTATTCCTATACTTTTAAGACTTCGGGCGATTTAGAGCTTGCCATTTTGTAAAGACACCTGTCTATTGATGAAGACTATGTGTTGATAAGTCTTTTTGATCATCATTGAATTGCTGTCTCATTGATGTGTACTACACATATTCTCATAGTTACCTTAGATGTTTTTTAAACATGCACTTTTATCGTCAATATTTTAATCTTCTTAAAAAAATAATACCCCATTATGTATTTCCTTATTCTTTTATGGGTCTCAGAGCTATTAAATTGTCTTCCACACAGATGACAGTGAAACCAATGAGGATAACAAAACTTGATTTACTAAAAGAGAGGCAAAAGATACCAAAGGGATATTTAAACTCATAAGTCGAAAGAAAACAAACTAACAATACCATGGCAAAAAACGAAAAACGACCAAAAGACAAATAGTACACAAAACACAACATATAAAACTAAAGACTGAAATTACTGAACTTCAAAGTGACTTTCTAAAAAGAAAGGAGGTCTATATATCCGGCCGAATTGAGGAAATCTTTCAATAACCATGGGTAGAATTTCCGGTTGGCATTTCTAGTCATTTCGGCTTTTTTTTTATATGCAATTTACCAAATAAAAAAAGAAAACTTCTTTTGATGTTTTTCTTACAAGATCTTATTTTATATCTTATAAGAAAAACTCTGTTCACCTGTATTAACTTTAGAGGATGCATTTATTTTTTCGTTCAATTACCATTGAAAGGGCTTTTTTACTTCTATTATAATTAATAATAATAATAATAATAATAATAATAATAATAATAAAAGCTCATTATTATTATCATTAACAACATTTTTATTATTTCATTATTATTATCCTATTATTATTGTGACATCTTTTATTTTACGTTAGACTAGACTAGATAACACGATAGCGTAAACTATTAAACATCATTCACATACAAATGTTTGACATATGTATTTCCCTATTAGTTAAAACATACTTATAAATCAAACTGTATTAAAGGTACAATGGGAACAGAATGGTGGTATGTGTGGCGTGTGTGGCCAACCTTTTGATGGCCTCATAGTGAATGGCGCTGAGTACAAGACTGTTAGATCATATAAACAAGGAGCCTATGTAAATGTCACGGTTGAAGTTAAGAGTAATCTTCTCGGCTTTTTCGAATTTCGTCTTTGTCCCAGAAATAGTTCAAAAGAAACTTTAACGCACGATTGCTTCCAGCGAAACATGCTTTGGATTGAAGAGTCCTGGAGTACTCGTTACTATGTTGGAAGTCATGGTGGAATTTATGATTTGCACGTGCGTCTACCAGCAGATATTTCCTGTACAAATTGTGTTATTCAGTGGAAGTTCAGTACAGGTATAAATATAAATTTTCAGATTTATAAGCTTCTGACGTAACAAATGATAAACCTGGTATTTTGTTGAGTTGACTGGGTCGATGCCACTGCTGGTGGACGTTTCGTCCCCGATGGCATTTTTTTGCGAGCGCCACTTGTGATCTTGCGTAGACGAAAAGCGCGTCTATCGAAACAAATTATAAGCCTGATATCTGTGATGAGTTTTACTGTATTGTGTAGGGGTCTATTTAACAATATCTTTTAATGATTAGCCCCAAGTTCAATGAAACAAAAGATATATTTTTATACGAGTTTTTAAACATAGTTTGCTTATAGTAGCGTACAGAAAACAGTTCACACCAAAAATTCATTCTACACATTTCTTAAATTTATTCACAGACTGATACAAGTTTTTGTCTATTTTGCGGTTTGTATTTGTTTGATTTACATAATTATACATATGGTTTTGGACGTTTAATGTGACAACTTGTGTGCAGATCGTACTAACAAAAAATTGCGTTTACATTTTTTACTTATAATTTGCATAAATTATATTGCGTCTCATGAATCAGCAGCCAATACGTGACCGTAACAAGATGAAAGTTTTATTTTTATAAATGCAACGACATGCACTTGAATTAATAAACTGATATCCTTTGTTAATTGATATGTATTATATTTAATGATTAAATCAATTATAAATCATATTTCATACATATCTATATTTTTATACTAGTAGCTCATGTTATAGTATAGCAAATCTTTATAGTGACGAAGGTCATTTGTTGGGTCGCAATATTTGTCTTTCTACATAATAAATTTTATCTCTTTGATCTACATGTATTTCCAATTTTAGTATTGATGACAAATCTTTAGACTTGTATGATTTTAAATTTGCATAAAACTAGTTCTTGTTGTTTTTGAATGAAAATCGAAAAGAAATACTGCATTATCTTTTATATTTTTAATAAAATGATTAAAAGTACTCTTAAATAAAAAAGAAATTGTATAAAGTTAGATAAAATGTTTTTGTGGTAATCGTTATATCATTTTTTTTTAAAAACTCATCTAACGGTATATTTTCCCGTAAAATAATGTGTTGTTACTAATTTAATTCCCTTTTCACTGACATCATATAAAGAGCAAAGTGTTTGTGAAAACCATGCTATATTGCGTTCATAGTGAAAAACATCGAAAGATTACAATTTCCAGTTTATCAACATAGTGCTTTTTCATACAGAACGCCTTATTGAATATTTTGCTCTTCAACTTTATTTTGCTGTTAACCTTTTGAATCGAGTGTCACTGGTGAGTCTTTTGTAGGCGAAATTCGCGTCTGGCGTAAACATTTTCAAGCCTGGTATCTATGATGAGTTTAATTTCATACATAACTCCACATTGAATACTATAATATACACATAGCTAATCAAAACAAACTATTTTGGTGAACTGATATACATTTGAAATCGTTAAATCTGAACTCTATTCTGCAATTTCATGTCAATTCTTTTGAAAAATATATAGAGCTTGGCTTTTGGTAAATATGAAAAAAAAAATAGTATTTTTAAATCGTTTGACGTCGATTTTACGTAGTCTATAATTACTTGCCTCTCTTTCTAGAGTGTTTGATACATTCATTTTTCAAAAAATGACTGAGATAAATCACGGTACTTCTTTTCACTTTCAAATAAGATTTCAGGATGGCAAGTATATACAATTATTTTCAAAATCTGATGCATCTTTAGCTCAACAGTTACATGAATTTAATAATTTTCACATTTTGAAAGAAATTCCCTGCATGATATCTAACTCATGCATATCATAACTATCAAATTAGTAATTCTGTAATTTACTTTGTAGGATATAGAATGGGAGGGATCAATGAATGTCAGTGTATGGGTTGTGGTAGACAGGAAACTTTTTATAACTGTGCTGATATCGAAATACAGTCGGATACCTTCTTCAGTGATAGTGCTTTCGTTTCCACGGAAATTAATATACACAAACCATTATTTTTAATCTCTGATAAAAACCTCACCGATTCTAGTATAGAACGCTTTCGGCAGACGTTGCCAGTTTTCGACAGTCCCAACGCTCTTGAAATCCGCAAAGGTGAGAGCTCTAAGCTAAAACCTTCTTACAATGACAAACTGCAGCAAACAAAAGACATTTCAAAGAAAGTTTTGAAGGATGCAGTATCGAATATCAAGGACAAACATGACCATGTGAAATGGATTAAACCTTCATGGCAGACGGGTAGTGCACACATCAAATTCAAAGCTAACATGACATTTCCCCTAAAAATTACCCCAAGTAAAAAGAATATAGAAAAGAAAAGGTCATTTTGGGAGAAAAACTTAGGAGAATCGTCATCCTCGCCGACATGGAATACAGCACCGGATAGTTTAAAACAGATGTCTTTCTGGGAAAAAATCTCGGCCAAAGCGACGCCAAAACTTTTAATAAAACCAAAGCCAGGAAGTCTCCTACTAACTAGATTTGTCCCTAAACAAACAGATATTTACTTTTTTCCGGCAAACAGTGGTGATTCAATAACATATCCTTTATTTTCACCAACTCGTCAACATGCAACTACAAAAAACGGAGATTGTTACTCAACTTCGCCAAATTACCGATGTAAAGCAAAAGGTCAATACTCAAGTACTCGAGGCATGGAACAATGGTGTCTAAACAACTGCAAGTCCAATCACTGTGTCAAGACTATGTGTGAATGTGGATGTGATGATGTTGTAGTCCGTGAAAAAAAATGTCACGCTGTTGGAGCATTTGAAGATATTTATGGAATGGATGAATGGTGTTCTCGAATATGCTCCCGAAAATCGTGCCCTCCAAATGTATGTAGTGTGAAAGACTGCCAAAGTGGTTTTTGAAACTGATTTTCCATTATTTATCAGAGATATAAAACCTATTTCAGTATTATATGTTGTATAACTTTTCAATTGATTTTTTTAATACATGTTAGAAATGAAAATAGTTTTAGAATAATACGGTACCGCGAACATTTGTTAGATTTTCAGTAGGAACATTCTAGTATTTCTTCGTATCAAAGTCTTTATAATATATCTTCGTAGATAGTCAAATACTTGAATTTTACTTGATGTCATATTCACATCATTCATGATTTGTCATTGAAATTACAAAACTGCATAAAATATAAAAGGTAGACAAAGGGAAAATACAATAAGGACAAAAACAAAATTATAAATCTATGAAAAATAATCAATACCATAGCCTAAAAGAAAAACGACGAAAAGACGAGCATAAGACTACAAAACACTGCACAGAAAACGTAAAGCTGAGCAAAACGAACCCCACCAAAAACATCGGGTGGGATGAGGTGTTTTTGAATGGTAAGAAGTTGCAGTTCTGTTATTGGCATCCTTCGTGTTGTTCATGGAAAATAAAAACTTTCATCTAAAATAGATACCGATGTTAAGTTTATTATCAAATAAGACGGGTCAAATGAAAATGAAAAATTATCGGAATCACAGGAAATTTAAACGGAGTGACACCAAAAGAGTAGACATGGTAATTATCTTCTGGTAGGCGTGATTCACCATTCGCATGACTCCAAAGTCACACCCAGTAGCAACTGTTAAAGCCAGGAAAATGTCTAAACTGGCGATGAACATAAATGGGTATGTTTGATCTATGACAGAACTACAATGTTAAAAACTATACTAGTATCTATAATAATATCATCATACATTTTAATGGCAATTGAAGAACTTTTGAAGTGATCATTTCTTTTATTCTTTAAAATAACCATTTTGAAGTAAGTAAAGCTTTTTTTGATGAAATCGTCATATTGAGAATAATTTCTAGCATATGTTTTAAACTTAGATACGTTAGCTCTTTAAGCAGATGGTATGTTACTACTGAAGATAAACAATTGGAAAGATGCAACCAATGTTTTTGTCATAGATCTTAGTTTTCAATTGTCAATCATCATATTACAAAGAAATTAGATTATGACCTTAAAGTCTGCCTTGGTGTTCTTTTAGTTCAATTACAAATCTTGAGTTTGTTGTTTGTTGTTGTTCTCGTATATTTGTTTTCTTTTATAGAAAATTATAGCAAAATATGTTGTCTTTACTGTTTTATGTAAATACTTCGAAAGCTATATAACCCAAAGAATCCCAAAAGAATAGTCAAACTCGTCTGAGATTAACTTTGCTTACATTTTCTGTACAATTTTCAAAATTGATCAGCTGAAATTCGACCAAAACTTCAATTATCCAGTCCACTACGGAAACATTGACTGCTGAATGAAGGATGCCATCATATAAAGGTCCTACGGTGACCTGTAGTAATGTTATTCATCTCCTTGTCATGTTGATCTTTGGTAAATACTTGTCTCACTGGCAACCATTTCACATCTCTTTATTTTCATTTTCATTACTGGGGCTTCTAAAAATAGGATGAGATTCTAATACTATTCTTTAACTTAGCGTTTAAGTATATGGATGATGTCATCTCACTGAATATTTCAAAGTTTGCCGACTATGTAAATTGCATTATACTATTGAACTTGTAATAAAGCATACCAAAGATACAGTTAAATCTGCTTCATATCTTGCATGACATCTAGATTTGCCAATGAGAGTCAATTGAAAACTTAAATTTACTACAAAAGAGATGATTTTATTTTTTCTACTATAAAGTTTAAGTCATCTCTTCGAAAGATTTACAGACGCCATCATAGTTTGTGTGACTATTATGGAATATCTATATCACAGATGGCCAAGGATAGGTGAGCCTCCTCATGGGGTTTTTGATTATGTGATTACTTGCCCGTTTTTATAGTGATTATTTGATTACCAGACCAAATATTTCATGATTATTTGATTATTTGATAATCTAGGAATGCAGTTTTGATTATTTGATTATCTTGTTTTAAAAAAAATAATTAATGATTATGTGATTATATTGGCCAAAAATTTGTGATTATGTGATTACTTGGACACCCCCATGAGGGGCCTCATATGTTTTATGTGGGTTTTTTTCCTACTCCAGACCTCTTTTCGTCGATTGTGACATCACTGAATGTTACTTATCCTTGACTTTTCGTGGCCCCGCCACAAAGTTGTCGGGGCCATATAGTTTTACCCTTATCTGTCATTCCGTCATTACACAACGAACAGTCATACGGACTTTTTTCTAAACGCCTTCACATATTGAGCTGATGTTTAGTATGCGAGTCTACTATGATAAGTTACAGATCGAGATTACGTTTGGTTCCGCTGCATTAATGTTTGCTGAAATTAAAGGCTTTGGACATTGAAAAAATTTGTGAAAATAACAGTTTTACCGACTTTTTTTTTAAAACGCCTTCACATATTGAGCGCTTTTAGTATGTAAGTCTACTATGATGAGTTACAGATCGAGTTAACGTTTGGTTCCGCCCCACTGATTTGTGCCGTTATTACTGGTTTTGGACTTTGAAAATTTCATGAAATTAACAGTTATACGGACTTTCATTCTCAAATTTCTACACGTAATAATTGCTTCAAGCATTTTTTTGCGAGCGAGACAATTCGAGTCGTTCCAACACATCTAGATTTTGAGATGCCACTTGTGGAGCAGGAGCAGAAACTGCCAACCCTTCCGAATCACCTGATTTACACCGATTTTGTGACTTCTCAATCTTATGTTTTCTGTGTAGTGTTTACTGAACTGTTGTTTCTCTTGCCGTCGTTTTTTTTAAGGAGTGGAAAAAAGGGGAAAAGGGGGGGAGGGGGGGGGGGGGGTATTCATTCACCACTTGGTATATTCTCCCCCTTTTGACTCATCAACATAGAAGCTTCGCAAAAACACGGACGGAAGTCAGTATATTTGTTATTTCATTGTAAGCTACGTAGATTGTGCACTTTCATTAAATATATTGGTGTCTTTAAATTTTATCGACTTATTTAAGCTTCAAGCAAGCATACCATAGCTACTGTAGATATTCTTCTTCGTGTATCTTGATCAAACACCGGGAGAAATCAAAAGTTAAATATTAATTCTTGTTGTTATTTGAAAAAAATAAGATATTGATCAAAGTTTCAAAAATACTAGTATTATGTTCTATTTATTAAGAGAGTTTATTCAAGAAAACTGTTGAAGCACTTTTGATCAGCAGCATACAGATGACGGAATTGTTTAAGTTTTCAATACCTTCAGATTTGTAGTAATAAGAAATTACAATATTCTTCTAAAACAAATACATACCCAAAACAATATCTGTTCATGTGAAAATGTTGACATACTTTTTTCTGGGCGTACAATTAAAAAAAAATAGAAAGAAGGAATTCAACTATGTAATAATTTAATATTTGATATTAATTATTTAAACATAATTTTCCCCTTAATTTCTTAAACAGCAAAATGTTCTTAGTTGTGTCATTCATTAGTTTTGTAACAGAATAAATTTTCGGCAGTGACACGTTCATGTCATTTTACACTAAAATCTAACTTTTAGCCATAAATAATGTTCTCTGACATTGCTACATTGATATGTCTGACCCTGAAACCTATCAGATATAATATATGAGAAAACTAATGAAATGCTAAGAATGCCATTTGATTTATATTTAAATGGATTTTTGAGCAGCAGACTGTCTAAGTCCTTTCTCGTATGGATTTTAAAATACGCATTGCTTTTTATAATTCCATCAGCTAATGACTCCGAAAGAAAGAATACAACATTTTAATCCGGGTATCTATGATGAGTTTATTGACTTGTGTCTTTCAGTCAGACGAACAAGAACAGTTGTAGCCCATTTGTAGTATTAAACGTAAATATGAATGCTCCTATCTTTTATTGACATGAATATCAATTATATGGTCATTTTTATAAATTTCCTGTCACAAAACTTTGAATTTTTTCGAAAAACTAGATTACCTTAGCCGTATTTGGCACAACATTTTGGAATTTTGGGTCCTCAATGGTCTTCAACTTTGTACTTGTTTGGCTTCATAACTATTTTGATCTGAGCGTCACTGATGAGTCTTATGTAGACGAAACGCGCGTCTGGCGTATTAAATTATAATCCTGGTACCTTTGATAACTATTATTATCTGTGTATGCTCATGTATGTATTCCAGTTTTGCGTTCGTATAGTTGGATAAAAGCAAAAAAAAAACAAACTCAAAATTAGTAGAGGAACACATTAGGTGCATTTCTCCATGATGTGAATTCAATATGCAAGACGGTTTATGAGAACTTGAATGTATGTTCTTCTCAAATGGTTCTATTTTGTCTCTTGAGGTTGCCATTTCTTACTTCGAACTGTAAATTAGTTAAGGATCATTAAATGAAGAAATAAAAAAAAGAATGATAAAAGTTGAACAATGAAAAATGATTTTAGAAACTGACTAGGCCTTGTGAGTTTCGTCCATGTGTATAAATGAATGACCAGTTGCAGTCAGGGCTCTTCAGACGACAGAATAGATGATTAAAAGGGTGTTACAAAACCACCAAGCATCATATTGCAGGTAGCAATGTTTGGAATATTTCAATTTGATTTTTTTTGTTTGGCTATCTGGATGAAAAATGTTCGGTTCAAATGTAAAGAAAAATTTTAAGCTCCCTTTAACTAATTATGCTCCTTTGAAGCTGCTTTAACAATTTTTTGTTCTAACACTTTCAATAATCATACCTTACAGTTTATATGTAGATATACATGGTTGTCTGTTTATGAATCTCAACTTCACAAAGAATGAATTTGTATAACAATGAACTGAGCTCAATGCAAAGCACTTTAATAATACTTAGAAAGAGAGATCAATCCATTGATATACTTTGTTATGCAGGCCCTTCAGAAACACCGCTAATAAACATACCAAACTACATGGATCGGAGGTCCTGATAATAGACATGTCAATTAATCATAGAATATGTAAATAAAATGTAGATGTT